TTTGCACAAAGCTTTGCAGAGATAGTTTGTCTCTGTTCCACATGGCACCAATTGGGACAGCTCAACTGGAGACTAGAGTAGCCACTTTCAAAACACCTCCTTGCTTCTGGCAAATTGCTGGCTTTTAGCTCTGAGCTCAGCCAGGGCTGCGAGACAACAGTCATGATCGCTCTCCTCATTGCCTCTCCATGGGCTACTTAAGCTTTCTCAGAGCATAGTGTCTGAGCTCCAAAAGCAAGTGTCTCAGAAGCACAAAACAGAAACACATGACATTTTTATGACCTGGTCTTGGAACTCACAAAGCATTCCTTCTACCATGCTCTATTGGTTAATACATACAATTACAAAGGCCTACCAGATTCAAAAAGAAAGACCTAACTCTACCCTACCTCTTGAAAGCAGACTAGCAAAGTTCTAAAGAACCATCAGGGAGGGCACATATAATTCAGTTCATCTTTGGAAAGTGTAATGTACCATGCCAATCAGCCCAAATCTTTTTGAAAAATAATAAATCAATTAAGGTTAAAAATTCTCTAATTCTAGCCCATTTATGTATATTTTGAGGAGGAAGAAAAGAAATACAAAACATACTCTAAGATATTGAAGAAAAGTTAGAATGAAAGATTATCTGATAGGGGTAGAAAAAACAGAAGGGAAATAAGTTGAGAAGTAAAGATAGAAGGAGAAAAAAGGAAAAAGGCAAGCACACAGAAAAGTAGATGGAAATATAAAGACAAATATCATTTATTCACTTCCTTTTCTGCTATTACTCTGCTATCTACAAAAGAATAGAGTTCAAATCTGATTGATTGAGAAGTCTCCTTCAGTCATTTGCTGCCACTCTCTGATAGAAAGGAAGTGAGGACTGGACAATAACAAATGACAAATGTAAAACAGGGCTTTCTCAGGTAGTTCTCACCTATCACAAGATCTCATTGGAGAGATACAGAGAGAGGCAGGGCTCAAGAATGGGGAAGCAGAGACCCCACTGCCTGGTTCACTAACACTTTGATCAATTTATAGTTACCTTCTGAAAACTTGAGGTGATTTCAGTGAAAACAACTGAGGGGTTGTTTTTCATACTAGATCAGCATTCGTACAATTTAAGATCACCTTGGTAATCAAACCCTCCCGTTCACAGCGAGAAATGCTAGTTATAATGAGACATGCAAACAAAGTGTCCCTGTGCTCGGGGAGGGTCCTACAAACTAGCTCCGAAACACTAATTGTGTTTTTCTCCCTGCTGTCCTGGTGAACATGAGTGAGTGCTGTGAGGGTGAAAGTGCCTTGGAACGTCCCTTTGTACTCAATGGCCGGTGCTCAAGGCAGTGTCCCCTGAGTTGTTAACCCTGGAGCAGCATTCCCAAAGGCCAGGAGAGAGCTTCTCTACCTCCAACTTCATTCCAACCTCCTTCCAAACAAAACCAGGAGCACGCCTAGGGAAGAAAGGCCCAGCACTTCTCCACTTTCACTGGATTTTTGTTTTTGTTTTGATTTATTTGGGGGGATGGATTGAACTCAAGGCCTCGCGCTCACTAGGCAGGTACTCTGCCACTTGGGACACACCTCCAGCCCTTCTGGCTTCAAGTTATTCTCAGGGAAGTCTTTTTGCCTTGGACCGTTATGCTCCTGCCCACAGCCTCCCGTGTAGCTGGGACCACAGCCGTGGACCACCACGCCCAGCTTATTTGTTGAGATGAGATCTCACTCGCTTTTTGCCCAGCTGGCTTCAAACCATAATCTTCCTACCTAAGCCTCCTGAATAGCGGGGATTACAGGTGTGAGCCACTGTGCCCCACTCCGCACTTACTTTTAAATCTCCCACTTCAGGTTCCTAAGCTAAAGACTTCCAGATGAAGCACCCATTGACTGGCTTATGACAATGCTCCAGTCATGCTGTTGAGATGGGTTCCAGGAAGAACGATGAGGGAAATGATGAGTATTTTTCTTGATTTCTGCCCAGGCATGTCTGTTCTGTAGGCGTCCTGGAGTTCTTCCCAGAAGGCAGATCTCAAAATCTTCAATGCCAATCATGAATAAGAGTTCCATTTATTTAAAAGAATGAAACCTGTTCAGTGCACTGACTATGAATGAAAAGTAGCAGCTTAAAAGAAGCAGCTGATGATCTTCACCTTCACTGAGGTCCTGAGAGAAAGGACCACCTCCTCTGTTCCCCTTCCTGTCTGTTACTTATACTAATCCCAAAGACTCTCTTCCCCAAAGAGTTAGGAGTCTACTGGAGATGGGACTTGATGCTGAGTTGATCACCCAGATGGATGATTTGGGGCATATCTGTTAATTTCCCTGTCTGGTGCTTTTACGTAGAATTAGAATAAGAATCTTTATCCTTCTTTATTTCCCTTTGAAATTCGCCTAAGAAAAGCACTACAAAAATGCTGAGGAAAATCCTGCTGGCATTTATAAATGTCCCGTGAGGAAACAATGTGTATCCTCAACACAGAAATAGGACCTTTCCTGCTACATTCATAACCATCAGGGCAACAGGACCGTTAGGTACAATATATTCTTTTTTTTTTTTTGGCAGTACTGAGGTTTGAACTCAAGGCCTCACACTTGCTAGGCAGGTGCTCTGCCTTGAGCCATACCCCTACTCTTTTTGCTTTAGTTATTTCCAGATAGTGTCCCACATCTTGATTTTGCTTTAGTTTTTGTTTTGCCCAGGGCCAACCTTGGACCATGATCTTCCTACCTATGTCTCCTGCATAGCTGGAATTACAAGAGTGAACCACCACATCTGGTTTGTTTGCGGAGATGGAGTCTCACTAAGTTTTTGCTCAGACTGGCCTTGAACTGTGATCCTCCAGATCTCTGCCTCCCAAGTAGCTGGGATTACAGGCACGAGTCTCTGCACCCAGCCATATATTCAAACGTCAAAGAAAATAGGATACTAGAAGGTGAAACTATGAAGCTGAAAATGTTTCGTTCTGCCTGCACACTACCCTGCTTTTATAAGTCAGAGAAGCCAATCTGCCCTTGAGGCTTTCATTCAGGCTGGGAGTCCTGGTCTCTGGACATGTTCACAGAGGCTTATAATACATTTATGCCAATAAGTCATGAGCAACCTTGGGTTATGGCCCCTTACTCTCTAATCCTCTGTAGTGATTTCCTAGGATTGCCATAACAAACACAGACTGGATCACTTAAGCAAGAGAACTTTACCTTCTCAGTTCTGGAGGCTCAAACTCCAACATCAACACGTTGGCAGGTTCAGTCCCTCCTGAGTGGCCATCTTTCTGTGGCCTTGTGGACGTTCTTCTGTGTATTCCTGGTGTCTCTTAGGAAGACACCAATCCTACTATAAAAAGGCATACCCTAAAAGCTGCACTGTAATTTAGTCAACACTTTAAAGATCTAATCTTCAAATGCAGACTTGTTCTAAGGTTAGGGCTTTGACACATGAATGGAGGAAGGGCCCAATTCAATCCTTAACTGCATCAATAAAAACAGGCATAATGTGGGCTGATTTGATGCGGACAAGAACATAACTTAGAAAATGCTTTCTGGGGCTGGTGGAATGGCTCAAGTAGAGCATCTGCTTAGCAGACATGAGGCCCTGAGTTCAAACCCCAGTACCGCCAAAAGAAAAAAATACTTTCTAAATAAGTCACCATATAAATGTTGTATTGTCAGTATTATTATTAAATGACATAAGTATTATTGTTTTTGAAAAATGATCAGTCACCTAACAAAACTAAGATTTCTTCATTTGTAAGAATTATACCATAGTGATTAAAAGAATGAATGCATCTAGATCCAAATGCTGGTTCTAGTTGTTAACCATGTGGCCTTCAAAAATTAACTTCTATAAGCCTCAATTTCTCTATCAATAAATTAAGAAAGAAAAAAAACCACACCTACCTTGTAGCATTGCTGAAAGAATGAGAAGAGGCAGCATTAAAATGTTGGTGACAGTACATGCTGAATAGATGATGGTCAGTGTGAACAGTAGTCAGACCTTGCTGGTCCTACTGCTGCCTCTTTCTCAGCCAGCAGAGGTCTCCAGCATAATCATGTGAGGATGAGCTTCCACATGACACAGGCACTGCAACTGCCAAGCTCCTCCAGGAATGGCAAAGAAACCAGTGAGAGAATCTCCGCCCTGTCTGAAGGCAGGAGAAGAAATTTAAAAAGCAAGAGAACAGGGAGTAGTGAGGATTCCATGGTAAAATGTTCCACACACAGGTGAGCGTTGTCTGGTTTTTTTTTTTTTTTTTTTGCTGTACTAGGGCTTGAACTCAGGGCCTTCACCTTGAGCCACTCCACCAGCCCTTTTTTGTGAAGGTTTTTTTTTTCTTTTTTTTGAGATAGGGTCTCATGAACTCTTTGCCCACGCTGGCTTCGAACCACAATTTTCTGATCTCTGCCTCCTGAGTAACTAGGATTACAGGCGTGAGCCACCGGTACCCAGCGAGCATTGTCTATTTTAGTGCTGGCTTCCCCTGACATCGCCCTTGCTTGCATCTCACTTTAGCCTGTTCTAAAGCTAGGTTAAAAGAAGAAAAGAAAGGAAAAAGAAAACCCATATATCACAGAGGTATAGTAATAATGATTTGGCAAATGTAAAGTTTTCTGAAAACAAGAAATGCTGCTAAATATTCAGTATTTTTCATAGTATTTGCTTATTTCATTTTTATCATGCATTAATACTCCATGCCTCAGTTTTGCTTCCACTGTAATATGGTTCCTTTAACCATCTTTTTCCAGACAAGCATACACCTCCAACTTCAATTATTCTGTCAATTGTGTTTTTAATTGTACTGATTTCTATTAACTACTTGTGGTATTAATGTGTTGATCTGTTCCTTCTTTTGAACCAATCATCTTTACACCCACCAAAAGCTGGAAAGGCAATTAAACTGAGGATGGTGAGAGTTATTCAAGAGAAATCAAAGCATAAAGGTAAAGAGAGAGGAAATACTGAGATAAAAAAGAGCACTGAGGTAAAAATACACATGTACTAAAAAGCACAGTACGGAAGCAGATAGACACAGGGGAAAAGAGGAGGTAGACAACCAATCCTGCTGGTGCCTACTCTCTTTCAGCACCAAGGACAGAGCCTCTGGGCAGCCGACCCAAACAACGTTCAGTAGGGTCCCTCCCAAATCCTCTAGGGAACACGGATGCATTGGGAAGCAGCTATGAAACATGCAGAGGTCTAACAGGGAAGCTGGGAGAATAGCTCACAAGTAATTTCACCTCAGAGACAAAAACCGAGGGTTTTCCTTCTGTTCCTTTCCATAGTTTCTGTGTCCTGGGAAAGACAAAGTTTGCTTTGCTTGGGTTTATCTGCTGTCAGTAAGTAGCTGCAGGAACTGAGGCACTAAATTCCACAATCTCCATAAATCAGAAGAAATTTTCAGGGTAAGTAATTTTCCTTTTCATTTCTAATTTAAGACCTATTATTTTCCTGGAACATTATTTGACTAGCTTTACTTCTCTAAGAATATGTATTAAAACTCCATGTTACTCTGATTTAAAAACCTGAAACCCTGAGGAAATGGTTTTCATTTTTTCCCAAGTGGTTGGACAGTAGAAACCTGTTTTCTTTTCTTCTTTTTTTTCTCCAAAAAACTGTGTCCTCATGAACTCTAGAAGCTGTATCAAGACAGAAGTAAAAGATAGGAAAATGAAAAGCTGTAATTATTCCTGGGATTTGTATGGAAGTTGATTGTATTCATCTTAAGGGTTTTACTTAATTGTAAGGGTCTGTTATTTTAAACTCCCCAATTCAGCACCCTGGTAATCCAGGGCTGAGGGTTTGGAGAGGCACTGTATTCAATGGTCTATTTAAAGCCAGGCTGTTTCCAAGTCAGACTCCAATTATTCCCAGCAGAGATATGTAGTACTTGAGATGATGATTGTGTATGTTTTCTTCAATGATGGTATATGATTTTGAGGGTATTGTTGCAGTTTAATTGTGGGCTTCCATTAGTTACTGCAGCTTATTGGATCAACAGAAGTTATTACAATTAGGCATTTGCTCCAGTTCACCCATTTAGTTTAATCAAATATCATCAAAATGCATGCACAAATAATAATGCAGCAATAGCAAAGTGGAACTTGAATTCTAAACTCATTCTGCATGCCTGTTTGCACTTCCCAGGTGAAGCACTTTGCTTACTGATAATAAAAGGTCAGTAAAATGTCTGTCCTTGAATAAGAGTGAAGAACAGCTGTTTGACATGACCTTAGGATCTCTAATAGCCAAAAAACAAGAGACAATGTGAGAAAGAGTCTTAGTCAGGCACTTGTTTATTTATAGATGAGGATTTTCAATGATCTGTATGGCTGTGAGCAGTGAAAAGGGAGGTTGAGCAAGGGAAATACTGATGGTATCCAAATAAAAAGCTGCTTATAATGGAATATACATTAAAGCAAATAACAAATTGCTCTACCCAATATTTAATTTCTAATGCACTGAAGTTTGTTATCAATTAATATTTGCTTACTGATTACTTTATCTCTGATTGGAATAACAGAATCCTCAGTCTTTAAGATCGTCAAGGATAGTCAGGGGTATCTGCTTTGCTGGTCAGGTTTAATGAGAGGGAAAAAACATATTATCTTAGCTACTAGGTTTCAGTAACTAGCATTAACCAGCATTTTTCTCTGTACATTTATCAACAATGTAAATATACCCAAATATATAAACATGCACCGTATTTCAAAGCATTTGTGAATCTTCATTAGAGAAAATAAATCAGACATTAATTTGCAAGAAAAAAGTGCCATAGAAATGCTAAAGGCTACCTTAATAATAATGACAACACCACCCCCAGGCTCTCTTGAGCAACGTGCACCTGTATTGACTTCAAGCAGCTTGGTAAGGAGATGTGCACAAGACACCCTGAAGAAGCAAGATCTTAAAATCTGTCCCTAATTCAAGTTTGTCTGCCTCACCCCAATAACAAAGGATTTCAGAACATGAGCTCTAGACTCAAAGAGAATCAACTCCATCATTTGCTGGCTTATGATCTCAACAAGGCATTTAATCTCTCTAGGACTCATTTTCTTCATCTGCAAAAATGGGAATAATTATAGTATCAACTTTCCTCATCAGGTTATTGTGAGATTTAAATATGCTTATACATGTTAGCTGTTATAATTATTAATTTTATCAGGCAATTTAGCAAGTCTGGATGGAAGCCCAGACCAGAAAAGCTCTGGAGACTTGTTCAGGAGTGACAGAGTCAAAGATGATAGACGGCAACAGGCAGGGTCTCTAATCAAGACAAGATGTGTCATGGAAACTGCTACCCAAGTGCTTTACTCTGGGTTGAGGAACACCCATCTCAGCATCAAGTTCCATCAGTAGACACACATCAAATAAGTTGTTAGCTTTGGAGTTAGGGAGACCTGAAGTCAAAGGTTGGGTCAACACAGCCTCTAACACATATGTGGTCTTGAGAATTCCTGAGCTTCTCTCTGTCTCTGTTTTTTAATCCATAAAAAAAGGGTATCAATACCCTCCTTTAGGGCTGCTATAAATATCAAAATGAGATAATACACATGAAGTATTTATGCCTGGCATAAGAAGCAGCACAGACGTGACTATCTTCAGCAGATTGGGGACTCAAGATATTTCCGGTTTCATTGTGTTTAGTTTTTGCTTAATTCACTATCCTTTTGAAAAAAGAAAAAATAATTAAAATCCTATAATTCTGTGGTACTGGCCATTGAACCCATGGTTTCATGCAAGTGCTCTGCGACTCGATCCATGCCCCCAGCCTTTCATTGGTGTTTCATTTTTTTGAGATAGAGTCTCACTAGCTTCGCCCAGGCTGACCTCAAACTCACAATCCTCCTTCTAAGTAGCTGGGATTACAGACATGAGCCACCATGCCTCACTAAAAATCCTATAAATCTTAATGGCTGTCTATGCAGGTGCCAAAGCAGACTTTCACTCAGCACTGAGAAACTGAACATTAGCAAAGAAGATTATATGCCATAGGTCATGGGGGCTTGCCCACTCTCTATCTCTCTGCCTTTTAAACTAGATCATGTCCTCCCTCTAAGAGATGCTAGGACTCATTATAAAGACCAAGATAAACCACTTTCTTACCACCCATCCACTGTTAATGCCTAGCATTCTTTGTTGAGGTCATAGTAATCTCCTAATTTCCAAATCTATTAGAGTCTACAATTTTAGCTTATTTGACCCCTTCACCTATTCACACTTTCCTGTTTAAACCATCATACTTCAAGTGCTGTGTGCCACATTGTATGTGAAAGCAGTGATTCTCAATGGGGAGAATTTTGTCCCTTCACCCAAGAAACCTTAGGCAATGCCTACAAACATTGTTTGGTTGTCTTGGGGGGAGGGGTGCACTATGGGCATCCAGTGGGTAGATGTCAGAGATACTGCTACACACCCTACAATGCACAGGGAAGCCCTCCCACAATGAGACATATCCAGCACAAACAGTACCAAGGCTTTACATAGATAATTTCATTTAATCTTCACAATAACCCTAGGAACTGGTAATAATTTATTGTCACTGTGCTGATGAAGCAACCGTAGGTCATTGTGGATCACTTAGAGAATGGTTATTGAGTTCACGAATTCTTCAACTCTTGGCTTCTTCCTACCTGGGGCCAGTTTGCTACCTGTTAGCATATCCATCAGCAGGAGAAAGAAAAAAAAAAAAAGAAAGAAAGAAATAGCAGCCCAGCTCTGCGTTACATAAGCAAGCCTGATTTTTTTTTTCTTTTATAAATCTAAGCAGGAAAAAAATTGAAATCATTAGCTAAGAGGCAGAGAGCAGCGTGGCACCTCACTTATCTCTACTTTCTTCTCTCACCCCTACAACTCATCAGGAACTTCCTGGACAACCACAGCTTACCCACTTGCAACTATAAAGAATCTAAGACCTGAGACAGCACAATATGGAAAAAAGTAAATCTGAAATCCGTGCGAGCATGATTCCAACCTCAGGTTCAGATTTTATTTTCAGAGTGGAGGATTTCCCATCTCATAATTAGTCATGAACACTGAGCTGTCCTATTTTGAAGAAGCTGTCAGACCTCTTGGCAGAGTACAATGTCCAGCAATGGCAACAAACATGCCAAGGTTTTATGCTTTACTCTTACTTGACAGGTGAGCTGAGGCTAAGACATCATTAGCCAGCTGCAGACTCTAGGAAAGAGCAATTCTGGCCACTGCTGTCCAAAGTGGCTCAGCAATGAAAGGGAAGGTGTTTTCAGTCTGAGGCTGCATTGAAGGGGAATATCCTTGAACGATCAGAAAGCATTGTATTTTTCCAAAAGCTCTTGGCAACAGCAATGCTATCTCCAGGGTAGTGGCTGCCCTTCTCCAAATAATGAGAAAATTACAATTATTACCAAGAATTATTATTATGTTTTAAAAGATATCGACTGCAAGCAATGTGCCAAGATAAAGAACATTTTTAAAGCAATTCTCTGAATTCATTCCAAGTTTGTAACCCCTTTCTAATCATTTGTTCCAGGCTGAACTGTTTCAAAATGAGGTACATAACTAGGCCAGTCCCGATTCAATGAAAGGTGCAGATACCAAGATTGAGAGTAAATCCTGATCCCCACGCTGGCCTCTACTTCTGCTGGGACCTGAAGCAAAAGTTCCTATGGGAACCAATATATACACTGTTTATTTTAAAGTCATTACCAATAAACCTTTGAATAAAATTTTTAAACCTCTGCTTCGAAAAATAAAAAATTGTTAACAAGTTAGAAGGCCAGGTTTGAATTTAGGATTCCTGGGCCCTTAGGAATTCCATACAAAATAGGAATATACCTCTATCCTGCTTCAGGATTCTATCCTCTTCTCTCCTCATCTCAGTGGCACAGTGCCGACAAAGTGTCTGAGCCCCGACAAAGCATCGCTACTTGAGCCCAGGACCCCTACGTATTCAGAGCACATTCTACCCTCAGGGTAACAGCTCCACAGTGAAGCCTGTGATACCCTGGAAACAACTGGGCATAGAATTCTGTGATGGTTGTCACAAGGAGTGTGGTCTAGATGGGGGTGTAGTCTCTTAGTAGACCTGCTCCTAGGCACTGTTGGGAAGTATGCCAGAAAAGGGTATCTTAGTTCAGTCAGGCTGCTATAACAAGACACCATAGACTAGGTTGCTTTGTTAGCAACAGAAGTGTATTTCTCATATTTCTGGAGGCTGTGAAGTCCAAGGTCAAGGCGCTGGGATAATCAGTATCTGGTTCATAGACAGCTGTCTTCACACTGTGTTCTCACATGGTAGGAGGAGAGAGACTACTGGTCTCTAGGATCTCTTTTATAAGAGCAGTAGTTCCAAAGGCCTCCCAAAGGCCCCACCGCTTAATACCATCACCTAAGGGGGTAAGATTTCAACAGATGGATTTGGGGAAGATACAAACACTCAGATGATAACAGGGGCCCTATATAGCACAGAGCCTGGGTTAAGAGTCACTCTTGGACTGAGTTGTGGCTGAGACAGTAGAGTACTTGCCTAACAAGCACAGGGCCCTAAGCTTAATCCCCAGTATCTTTTAAAAAAAAAAAAAAAGAACAAGCTGGGGATGTGGTTCAGTAATAGAGTACTTACCTAGCATGCATGAGGCCCTGGGTTCATCCCCAGCACCACAAACACAACACAACACAACAAAACAAAACAAAAGTCACTCTTTACTAGGTTTCAAGAACACACTGTAAACTACAGAACTCATGTACCCTACAGACATGCAAACCTGGCTCTGAGAGCCCAGAGCCCTTTCTGCAGGATTTGCCCTACAGACCAGTGTCATGAGTACAGCTGCTGGGCTCCAATGCCTCTCCCACTCTAATTCCAAAACCTCCACAGTTTGAGCACTGGTTCATTCCAATGGGGTGGAAACATGACAGTTGCTTGGCTTTCAGATGCCAAACAAGGGTATGCTTATTCTGCCACTAATAAACCATAGGGCTAAGACATGCTACTCCTTTCTCTGGGTCTCAATTTCCCTGTCTAAAAAAGCAAGGGCATTGGACTGGGTTAGAGGTTGAAAACTGGTGAGTCACTGGTCCATAGATGAGGTATAGGAGGACTTTATAGGATTAAACATATTTAACTAGTAACTAATCTTTTAAAATTAGGAAGTTTCAAATAAAATTTCACACACGAATTTTTCCTAAATATAAAAAACCACTGAACTAGACCCCAATACTCTTGAGATTTTCTTCCACAATCTAGTCTCTCAAACCCACATACCCTATGTAAGGTGAAAGAGAAAATGGAAATGGAAGAAAGTCAACAGAAACAGGGAGATGGGGGGAGAGTTAAGTGCAGCAATGGAAGTTGTGAAGAAGGAAACAAAGAAAGGGTTAGGAAGCAAGAGAAACTAACAGAAAAGGGGAAATAGCTAATACTCACATAGTGTTTTAGGTGCCAGGCACGACTTTCAAAGTTGTACATATGTAACAGTTCATTTAATCCTCACAAAAACCCTATGAGATGGGTTCCATTATCCCTCCATTTGACAGAAGAGGAAACTGGAGTTCAGAGAGGTGGAGTGATATGCCCAAGGTCCCAGAGGCAGGAAACAGCAGAGCTAGGATTCTAATCTTGCAGCTTCCCAGCTTACTCAGAGTCCAAGCATGGTTCTTCCAATGGCCCTGCAGTCTCCCGTATCATGGCTTTCCACCCTGCCACTGCCTCACTCGGCACTCAGCCCTGTTGGCCTGCCTGCTAGTCTTCTCCCGGGCCAACCTGATCTGCTACTCCCACTGCCTGGACCATTCTCCCACCAGATATCTGCACGCGCTGCTTCCTTATCTCCCCCAGGTCTTAATCAGACCTCCATGAAGGCTTCCTGATTACATGAGTTAAAAGTTGCACTCAGATACCCACTCATACATACACAATCCTCTGCCACTCCTTACTCTCCTCCCTAACTTATTTTTCTCCAAAATGCATATTACAATTGAACATACCATGTCTTTTATCTTGTTTATGTTCTGACTCCCCTCTCCCCCCACAATAGCGGCTACATGAGGGGAGGAATTTTTACCTGTTTTATTCATTGCTATAACTCCAATTCTCACGACAGTGTCTGGTATGTAGAAAGCACTCAACAAATATTTGCTGACATGATAAATTTTAAAATGTATCCAAACACTCAAGTTTCAAAGAATGATTTTACAAACATTGTTTTCTGTCTCCTCCCAGAAACTCACTTGGGTCACACCCCTGCCTCTGGACTATGGCACCTCTCAGCCAGCTAAGTGGCCACATCAACTCCACCTGCGGGGCAGAGAACTCCACAGGTGCCAGCCGGGCTCGTGCACATGCTTACTATGCCCTGTCCTACTGTGCGCTCATCCTAGCCATTATCTTTGGCAACGGCCTGGTATGTGTGGCTGTGCTGAGGGAGCGGGCCCTACAGACCACCACCAACTATCTAGTGGTGAGCCTAGCTGTGGCTGACTTGCTGGTGGCCACCTTGGTGATGCCTTGGGTGGTGTACCTGGAGGTGAGTGACTCCCAGCACATGTTGCTCAAATGCCTGTACTTGCTTGTCTTCCCCCAGCTCCTGGGCTTCAGGGTTCAAAATACTCCCTGCAAAGATCTGGGAACTGGTGAAGGAAGGTAAACTTCTGTCATTCTCTCTTTAGTGATGGAGCTGACACTGTTGAAGGCAGCCCCTATCCATCCATATCAGAGCCAGGGAGCTGGGAAGAATTGTATTCTGTGTCTAGTATTCAGGTGATGAACTTGAATTATGGAACTCTCCCTAAAAATCCTCTCTATGATACAAGGGATTGAGGGAGACAGTCCAATGGGCATATTCATCCAGCTTCAAGGTATCTGGAGATAAGCACATGCCAGAGGGGTAGGAAGGGGGAAGAAACTATAACAAAAAAGAGTACTTTAGTGAATGAAAGGATAGATAGATAGATAAATAGATAGATAGATAGATAGATAGATAGATAGATAGATAGATAGATAGATAGAAAGAAAGAACATTCGGAAAATAGATCAGACTTCTCTTGATGGTTCAGTTGCCCTCCATCTCTCCTCTTTGCTCTCGGCTTACTGGCTGTCCATAGAATGCTACCGAAGTCACAGACTAAACCTTCAAATTTAGATTTTCCATGACTCCATTAATAGTACAGAGCCTTTGCCACTCAGATTATGCAGCAGACCCTGGAGAATTCTTCTAGGCAGAAGAATTTCTTAAATTTGGAAGTATTTTCATTTGAAAGTGCAAAATAGAGTCAGGAGGTGATCAAGACAAAACATCCATTTGCTAACAAAGAAATCAGGGTGCCTACATTCGTTCAAGAAACAGATATTCTTACCAGGAAAACATGCAATTACTACAGAGGTTTTTTTAAAACACCTTAATATGCTGTTAATATTTCTCCTCTGCACTAAGTGTCATTCTAAAGAGATATCCAATGAAGGAGCAAAATGATGCTATGATTAAGAGAAATTAAGATTCATCAAATTAATATTTCAGTTAATATTAATAGTGAAGGTGACAGTTAATTAAGTATGACATATCACAGAAAACCAAAAGCCTTGAACGTAGACTGCCTGTGCTAGTGCCTATATTAAAGAATGGCTGAGAACTAAAATTAGACTTATGATCTCAATGGGAGCACATCAAAAACAAAAGAAAGAAATCAGAAAGAAAAGGAAAAGAAAAAACAACTAGGCTAAATGGGGTAGCTCAGAGGTTAAGGGACCACTTGGGGTTGGGGGAGGAATGTATATTTATTCTTCCCAGTTAGGATTATCCTGATAGTGAAAAATCTTGCAATTATCTTGACTTTTCTGTCAATGTAATTAGGCTGAGTCATCCTTGAAGTCAGAGGCTATGTGTTTGTTCTCCTATAATCCAAACACACTACCTGGCACACAACATGTGCTAAATAAATATTTGATATATGAAGGACTGTAATTGAATCTGCTCAATAATGCATGTATTATATGTGCAATTCCTGCTTATACCATCTGCATCTATATTCATTGATACAGCAGACATTTGGAGAGGGGGAATTTATTATTTTGTATCCAATAATACCAAGAAAGAAGTGGTATTTCTGTTCAAGTGTTAGGCACTTTAAGTACTTCAAAAAAAAATGAAAATAAAACAAACAAAAAGAGCCAAGCCTATAACCCCAGCCTCAGAAGGTGGAGGCAGGAGGATCGTTAGTTCAAGGACAGCCTGGGCTACATAACAAGATCCTGTCTCAAAAAGACAAAAAGAAAGAAAGAAAACAAAAACCCAGAATATGTTTGTCAGTGATTAATAGCACCAACACTATCACCCTAAAGTGTTTCTATTCATCCTTATAGACTACAGGAGTCTTTAATCCACCAAAAAGATGAATGCCAGAAAGCAATGCAAGTAAAGGACTGCTCCTCCAATAAGCAGTTCCATTCCCTTGGAAACAAAACTTTTAGTTCCCCTCAATAAAACCACCACCAGGTTACTGTGTGTTAGTGTTCAGTAAGTAAGAGCACCATCAAATCTACATTCACACAAAACTTGATGGAACAGAGGCATCTCCAATGGGAATGGGCTCTGGTGAAACTCAGTATTTCTGCACTGCTTTCTCCAACAGCCAAGGGTCCAGCTTGCTAAAAGATAGGATAAGACTTGAAGCAGCCATCGTTAATAGGTAGTTATTAGATGCTTCTAGTTCAGAGGACCAGGCCTCCTATCCCAATCAGTCTATACTTCTCTTGGGCTTAAATGTTTACCTGTCTTTCCCTAGAGCCAGAGGAGGTGCCTAAATGAGGAAAAAAAAAATCATTTCAAGCTCTTATAAGGACTATGCATATATAAATCCACTTATATATAAGTCTCAGTGAAGAGAGAGTAGTAGTTTGAGTAGCTATTCTAGTCACTATTTGGTTATACCTAAGAGGAAAGGGTACAGTGTTGACCACAAGGATTGCTATGACCTTGAGAGCCCACAGGAAGATAGGACACTTGAGAAGAATGCTCTTTGGGACCAAAAGATTCACTAAGTCCATAGTCTCATGTGCTTTAATTGGAAAGCATCCATCTTCTCTGAAGGAAAATTGGCTTACTTTCCCCAACACTAGTATGTATGAGTTAGGAATGTTTGAGTTGTAAATATTGGAAAACTTGACTAGCTGTGATTTAAACAAACAAGGGCTACTTTTCTCACATTCCAGAATTCTGGAGGAAGGTGACTGTTGGTGTTAATTCAGCTATCCCATGGAATCATCATGGACCACACTCTTCTATCATTCATCTTCACCATCCTTGCAAGCTATCCAGCCTACTTCTTTCTTATACTATCACAGCATGGCTGCCAAAGTCCCCAGCATCATGGCAATATTCAAAAATAGGATGGAGTGGGGATGAGAGAGAGAGAGTATAGAGAGGCTCTAAATCCTTTTGGTGATTTGAGGCATCACCAAAAGGAACTTCCAGCTAACTGGCCAGCACTGAGTCACCTCTAGCTGAAAAGGAGGCTGGAAATGAAAAAAAATGGGTTTTATTAAAAAAGAAAATGTGTGGGTGGGAATTGCTGTAAAGTAGGCAATAAATTGTCACATAACAGTCTCTCCATTGGAATTCAATGGAATGAATAGTCATTCCAACACAGGGTCATTTTATAAGAATGACTCAGAACTGGAAGTCAAAAAAGAGGAAATTAAGTGAATAAAATGCAGGTGACACTAACACTTCCTGTGTTGGGCTGATGATGGTAGGCCCAACCATCACCAGTCGAGAGAACTAAAAACTGGTCTATGCATATCTCAGTTTAGACATTTTAATTAGAAGTAAGAGAAAGCCCAACTCCAATTAGATAAAATTATAAACAGAAAGAATTGGCTCTTCCACCAGGATCTTTAAAAGTCTTATGGTAGGGTGGACTCCACACATAGTTTGATCAGGTTCCAACTCCCTTTCTCTGCAGTTTTCTCAGCTCTGCCTTCTTTAATGCATTGACTTTATTCACAGGCAGGCAAAGGGCTGAACTATAGGCTTCTCTAGTGCACACCATGCAATCCACAGCAAGAGAAAACCCATGCCACAGAACTTCTTGAAGTATCAAGATGTATTCAACTGGACTGGCTTATGGCACTTTCTCCCAACTAATCACCAGTTAAACAAATTGGTTTAGCCAATAACAAATGCTGGTGAGGTGTGGGAAAAATGGAAACCTTGTACACTGCTGGTGGGAATGTATGCACACAGCCAACTATGAAAATTACTATGGAGGTGCCTCAAATGAAAAACTAAAAATAGAACTCCTATATGATCCTGTTATACCACTCCAGGGCATATGCCTGAAGGAGTGTAAGTCAGCATACAATAGAGACACCTGCACACTCATGTTGATAGCAGCACCATTCACAATAACCAAGCTATGGAATCAGCCAAGGTGCCCAACAACTGATAAATACATAAAGAAAATGTGGTATACATATACAGTGGAGTATTATACAACCATAAAGAATAATGAAATTATGTCATCTTCAGAAACATGGATGGAACTGAAGATCATGATGAGGCTTGACTCAGAAAGACAAATACCACATGTTTTCTCCCATACGCAGAATCTAGGTCTAAAAAAAAGAAAAGAACATAAAACGGGGACTACAGAAGAGGGAACCAGCAGGAGGAAGAAAGGGGAAAGAAAGACTGCAGAGTGAATATGACTGAAGTACATCGTATGCACACATGGAAAGGTCATAATGAAACTCATTTTTGAAAATTTGCAAGCAAGTTAAAAAAGGGAGCATTTAGAAGGTATAAGAAAGGACTAGAGCAGGGTGAACACGATCAAAGTACATTATATGTACATATCACAATGAAGTCCCTCACTTTGAGCAATTAATATAGCTTAATAAAAATCAGAGTGATTTAAAACATAAATAATAAATTTTAAAAAAGAGAATTGGTTTAGCACAGAGTATGTATTCCTTCCATGGAACACATCAATGCGCCAGGAATCTGGTGGATCCCAGTGGAATCTGGGGATTATTGAAAAGAGGGCACAGGGCAGTCAGTATTTGTGAACCATGGTCAGCTGCCAAGGGTATCATTCTTGTCACCGAGGCATGGGAGCCTGCACTTGAGTGCTGGAATCACAAAGTCGGTCACTGACACTTCAGAGTTCTCTGTTCTTAGGCCTAGCAAAGACATTCAAGACCGAAACCATGCAAGTGGTCTCACAGGCTTTCAGAGGGCTCCAGGGCTAGCTGTCTCTTTAATTCCATTTGCAGCATTTTCTGGTAAACTCTTTTCTTTGCCATAGCGAATAGTTCCATCTCAAGTTTTTAATTTCCTGCTTTACAGGACACAGTCTGTTTGGAGCTCTCTCTCTCCAAGCACAAACATCCCATTTTGTTCCACTTGGCTAAACATCTTTTGTAATGTTTAATGCTCTTATATCTGGACAGAGGGGGGAAAGTAAGCATCCAGAGGAACATTTGAAATACAAACAGTCCCCAACTTGTGATGGTTAGACTTAAAATTTT